CAGATTCCTGGGCTCAAGAGATCCTCTCCCGTCAGCCTCCCGAGTAGCTGGAACTAGAGGCATGCATCTCCATTCCTGGTTAATGTTTTTGTTTTCTAAAAATTTTATTTTTAATAGCAACCAAGTTTCCCTGTGTTGCCCAGACTGGCCTCAAACTCCTAAAGTCAAATGATCCTTCTACCATAGCCTCCCAAAGTGCTGGCATTGCAGGTGTGAGCTACCATGCCCACCTTTATCCTTTTTGTAGATTAGAGTTTTCATGTAGTATAATATTCCTTCAGCCTGAAGAACTTCCTTTTACAATTTCTTACAGTATAGGTCTGTTTGTAAAAAATTATCTCCACTTTATTCTATCTGATAATGTCTTTATTTTGACTTTAATTTTGTATATTTCTCAATTGATAGCTTTCTTGTTTATCATCTTAAAGATTCTATCCTATTGTCTTCTGGCATGCATTCTTGCTTATGAGAAATTGCTGATCTTTCTCTTTATGTAATATGTCTTTGTTTCTCTGTCTGTTCTCAATATTTTCTCTGTTTCTTGTTTTCAGCAATGTTAACTGTGGTGTGCCTTGATGTGGTGGTGTACTTTTTTCTGCTTGGAAATTGTTAAGCTTCTTACATTTGTGGGTTTATAGTTTACAAATTTGAAACATTTTTATTCTTATGTCTTTATATATTTTTTCTTCTCCTCCTTTGGGACTCCAGTTATACATTTATTAGGGTGCATATTGTCTAGGAGGTCACTAAGATGCTAATCTCTCTTTCTTCCTCATGCATTTTTCCTCTGTGCTCCAGTTGTATTTTTGGGGGTGCTACCAAATACTTTGGTGTTTTGTTCTTCTCTTGGCTCATCGATTGTTAGGTCCATCCCCTTCCTTGCTTTGTGGTCCTTCTAAACTGCCTCTCAGTAGAAAGCCAGGGTAATTATAGGACTCACCTCGTTTGTTTTTTTTTCTCTCCAAGATCACAGTCCTGTACGACCTGTGGTCCAGTTGTGTCTTAACATTTTTTTTTTCAGTTTCCTAGTTTTACATGGTAGGAAAACAAATTTAGTCTGTTTACTCTTATGTCCAAAAATAGAAATTTTTTCTTTTTATATATTCACATATACTTAAATACATTGTATATACCTATACAGCTAGTGCTCGACTTACGACCACAATTGATTCCGACAGACCGGTCGTAACACGATTTGGTCGTAAGTTGAGTAGGCTGTATGCTCGCGGAGATGGTAGTGCTGCCGGAAGCTGGTCCGCACTGTCGTACGCCCAGCTGGGCAACGTTTGCGCTGCCAGACGCGGAGCAGTCGTGGCTAGCGATTGTGGTCGTAAAGTCGAATGGTCGTAAGTTGCATAGGCCATAAGTCGATCAATACCTGTACCTATACTAAAATTAATTTACATTTAAAATCATTTACATCTATCTCTGAATAAATCTGCCAATTGCAAACTAAATAAAAAACTGTTAATTTCTCAATTTGTCAGCATTTTAATGTATTGTCTATAATGACCCTTTTTAAGCAAGTCAGTAAAGAGAAAACTATTTCAGTAGATTCAGGTTTTCTTTAACAGCCTACGTGTGTTACTAAAAATGCAGTTTTGTTTTGGTATAAGTTAGTGTAGCATCACTGAATTTATAAGCAAGTTGGTGCATGTTTATGTGTCTTCTGTTTTTATAAAAGACTTGCTAATTTTTCTGTTGTCTTTTCTTAGTCTCTTCATAGTCAGAAAAAATATCAGATATTTTATTAGCTTAGCCTTGAGGAGAGTTCTGCAGTAAAACTGCCAGTTTTCAAAAATGGGGGAGAAAATAGTAAGAATTACTGGCTGGCACTTTTATTTAGCAAGTAAAAAATAACCTGGTGAGCCAGAACTTATTTATAGTAGGCTCTAGCGGACCACATCTACAGCTCGGAATCACCAGTCATCCAAAATGCAATCAAGAATCATTGAAGACTTACATTATTAACCTTGTACATACCATTTCCAGATCTCTATGCTTGAAGTAAAATATCTGGTTTTTTTCTGTTCCATGCAAAAAAAAAAAAATTGTCTTAAGCCAATATCTAGCTATATGATAGTTTAATTCTAAATAACTTTTTTGTAATCATATTGTTTTTGGGGAGAGGGGATGTACTGAGATATGAAGCTATTATTTTTCTTTCGTTGAATTCAATTTTTCATTTTTTTTCTTCAGCTTTCAATAGTTTTGAGTGTTTATGAGAATTTTTAGGATACCACGTCACTTATATTTCAGTCCTAAAAGACCATTCAAACTGGCATTAATTTCATATGTTGACTTTTATTTTTTTAAATGAGGTATTTACCTGTTTCTACAGGACATAGTGTTAAGAGTTAACACTCAGATAGCATCTAGTATGACATCATATATTAATGCCATAATAGTCCTGAGGTTATAATAAGACAGCGTTTATTCATGGTGGATAGTTATCAGATGTCATCCTTCCTGAGTTTAGAGTGGTAATTGTTCATATTATAAACCCCTCTTATGTGGTAATCCAACTAGATTATCTTATTTATATTGGGCCTGATTTTTCATACCGTAAGATAATATACCACACTTTTCCTAACTTTCCTCCCGTCAGAAATCAGAAGTTTGAATTATGTAATTTAGAATCTGTGTAACTGCGAGAAGTAGATTTCCCTCTTATCCACAGGTGAATCCTCTTCTTCACCAGGTCTCTCTGCATTCTTCTTTTATATTAAAAGGTGACTAGACCCAAAATGGCAGAAGGAGATGGAGCTTTCAGCTGTAAATTTTTCATTGTCCAGTCATTACTTGTTCTCATTGCAGAGGGAGCAATTCCTGATAGCTGCAGCATTTAGTGGTGGTGGCTGTTGGCAGTAGCTTTCTTGCAGTCTTTCCCTTCTTAAATGGCAACTAGATTGATCAGTGAGATTTTCATCTGCTTTTCCAGATGTTGTTTACAGGATAATTATTTCTGGGTCACTAGTGGCAGTTCTGATACCATACAACTTGTTTAAAGTTCCTGCTAAAAAGAAATCCATATTGTACCACACAGTGCCTCTTACTGTTTTCTGAGGCCAGCATAGAAATTCTGTCTTTTGACCAACTCAGGGTGAGTTATGATGTTCCTAAAGGATATCCAAAACCTATTCCAACCACTTTCTTCATTCAGGTCACTCATAGGCGGGTGCTGAACAGTGAGAACACATGGACACAGGGAGGGCAGCACTACACACTGGGGTCACTTGGGGGGAAATAGGGGAGGGACGGTGGGGGGTGGGGAGCTGGGGAGAGATGCCAGATGTTGGTGATGGGGGGAAGGCAGCAAATCACACTGCCACGTGTGTACCTAGGCAACAATCTTGCATGTTCTTCACATGTACCCCAAAACCTAAAATGCAATAAAATAAATAAATGGG